TGCTTTTCGTTCTTCCGTTTGCCGACTTTTGATGATTCCTTCGCCATTACGGAGGATGATCGTCTTCTCATGCTTATAATGTCTATGTGTATACTGATTTAACTGTACTATTCCATTATTTATTTATTTTTTTACCTTGATACGTTTAAGTACTTCTATCATATCAGTATTTTTTTTCTTTTATCTTAGATTTATTTTCTTCTATCGCATCAGTTTCTTCTATCGCATTTTTTTTATCTCAGATTTATTTTCACCTATCTTATCAACTAACAGGTTGATGTTTTGATGAAGAGCATTTATACTCTGTCTGATTTTCATCTCGATTACTATTTGTCCAGTTTTCAACATTCTACTATTCTCTTCCAATTGATCTTTCAACGTTTTAATATCCTCTTCCAATCGATCTTTCAACGTTTCAATGTTCTCTGCCACATACTTTCCGAACTGCTCTTTCCACTTTCTCACATTCTCATCCACATAATTTTTATGTGCAACGTCACTTATAGCTTCCGGCCATGGTACATGTCGTATTTTAATTCCTTTTGCGTCAAAAAACTTACGATCAGCAGTCAGACAAAGAGCATTATCCTGTACGTAGTGTTTACGCGCAATGTTGTTTATACTATCAGTCTCAAATTTTGCGAAACGCTCATCCACATATTGTTTGGTTGCAACATCATTGTTGGTTTCCGGTTGCGCTACATTTTGTATCTTGCGATATTTTGTTACATATAGTTCGAGATGTATACTATTGGTGCGGAAGTTAAGACCAAACGTGCAAATTATTACTTGCCTATTGAACAGGATAAACAGGCTTCACAATGCAAGAAAAAGTGTAAAAGGTTAGTATTATTCTCAATTTATATGCAATATAATCTCTCTCTTTCCAGATTTGAATATTTAACAAAAACTTCTCTTATATTTTTTTTTTACAACGTTTCTACTGAAAAACCACATATTCCTGCTCGTATCTTAGGGAGGAGATACATGCTAACAACTACGTCATATAAATACTTAGAAATTGGAATCAGTGTAGGACCTGCATCCTACGTGGAAATTGTTCTTGGTGATAATCGATGCAATCATTTGATATTACCAAATGAAATCTGGAAGGAGATTATACATAGACGTGCACACATCGAGCGACATGTGGAGTCATCTCATTCTTTGCCATTATGGATTCGAGATTTGGCGATGGAATGTCGTATGATGCATAGTGATACCATTATAAAGCTTACATTGTTTAACAAGTCAATGTATTTAAAACCAGAATCNTATTGGATACCTTATTCAATCTTGAGTAGTGTATTGATCATATGTACTCATGGTTATACGAAAATATGCATCTTGTTAATACAAAGTTCCAAAAATTTGTAAGCATTTTGCAACAAAATGATATTATTGGCGTATGGTACGAGTCCAAAACTGTTGACTGGTGTTACGCCGCTAAAGTAATACGCGAAAGTGGTGATTTCGACAGCGAGTCTCTTGTCGACTGTGAGCTGTTGGCGTGCGCCTTGAAAGACATTGTACATTATGCTCTTGATAAATAATAATAAACTATTTTTAATCGTAAAAGATTTTTTAACTTAATATTCTCCCTCTTACCTTTTCCCTATATTCCCCCTTTTAGATGTAAGTGAACGCGATAGGCGGGTACCGACCGCTGCAGGGTCCTATTCGATTTCGTCAGAGGAGAGGTGTTATTATAAAAAGGGGTTTTGATATAAAGAGGAAGATGATAAAAAAAAATAGGGGAGGTGATAAACTCTGAGGATATCGCCGACCGGGAAAACGGAGTAGGTGGAGAATGGAAATATTTTCTGGCTACATGGTTCAGGGGAATAAAAGGAGCAGTTTGTGTGTTGGTTTCTGATACAAAGAACTAAGATAATAGCTTTAATTTCCGTCGTGTTATCTTGGTGATTAAGTTGTTTCTGTGATGTATTCGGTATCTGGATGCATCCGGTGCATCATGTTTCTAGGAATTACGTAGTATCAATTCGTTTGACCTAGGTTACTGACTTGCGTTTTTATCAGGCTATGAATCCCGAGGCCCATCGAGAGTGATTGACCTCTGGTATGTACGTCAGGACTCATAATAATAAACTATTTTTTGATCGTAAAAAATTTCTTAACTTAATATCCTCCCCCTTACCTTTTCCCTATATTCCCCCTTTTAGATGTAAGTGAACGCGATATAGGGACGAGTGCGCTGGAGGGTGGGTGAACTTGGGTCGTCGCGAACGGGCCGCTGGAGGGGGTACCGATCGGACCGCTGCAGGAAGGGTAGGTGCGGACCTTCGCGGGCGACTACCGCGGGTCGTCGCGATCGGAGGGAGGGTGGGTGGAGGGGTGCGGACCTTCGCGAGGACAAGGGTATACCGACTGTCGGAGGAGGGTACCGACCGCTGCAGGGTCCTATTCGGTCGGTATAACATCCCCGCGTGACGTCAGTCCCCTCGCGGGCCAACAAAACACCCCCTCCCCCGCGTGACGTCAGCCCCCGCGTCTACAAGTCACCCCCTCCCTCGCGTGACGTAGCCGTGACGTCAAAAAGCAACACGCCAACTGCGCTAGAACCGGCCTTACTCCTCTATTTATTTTCTTCAAAAATTTCCAATCTCGTATCGCATTGATTGTTGAGAAAATTTCCAACGACGTTGCAACGAAATCGATTCCAACACGAAAGGGGTGAATTTTTACAAACGATGCTTCTGATCTCACGATTCGACAAGAATATCGTCAATGATACGGACAAGCACAAAGCACCGACTCGAACGAAAGCTTCGAAGGCTGATAAAAATTCTGAGCGATTCGTTTCTTTTTTTTTTCGCAGTTGAACAAACAAGCAATTCTGTCAAATATGATAACCGTCAAGTCGCAAGTTGCCTGCTCGATCGTGTTTCTCGAAGCGCGAAAAGACCCTTCGAGTCCGTTGTACTTTTGCATTCTACGCTGCAACAGTCGTACGCGTCTAGATTTTGCAGTACACAATGCAACATCTCAATCAAATCGTTCCTGGTCGACAATTTGAACCAAATAATATCGTTCAATGGTTTACAGAAAAGCCGCGAAATATTAACAAACGATCGATTCGGCTTGAGAACTGCGTCGTCCACGGTTTTGAAGTATCGCATGAAAGCGCGAGAATCCGTAGCTGCGAGTTCCAATATCGTAGCAGCGAGCGTTGCTATGATGTCTTTACCATGGCAACAATTTGGATTTCGAGCGAACGCGCAGCAAAATTTTCGTCATTTCGCAGACGGTGAACGGTAGTGCAACTTTTCGCAAATTATAATAAAGGACGCACGAAACGTCGAACCAATTTTCCAAATTGTTCAATTTCAATTCCAAGAAACTAGAATCAGCCGTCTGCACCAGCGATCGTGGATATTTTTCATCGTCGAACGCGTCGTAACGTTTCGATTCGAACGCTCTGCCATCTAACGAGCGAGCAAAGAGAGGTATGGTGATATAAAACGATCGTTTTCAAGTGAAAAAAGTACACTCACACGTTAGTCGGTGAATGAGGCGTCGCTTGTATAACGTGCCGGTTTCGCGATCAACTGATTTTATCAATTTGATTCTTCGACGTTATATACGCTGCGCGCAAATTCTCCGCTCCGCGATGTCGATCATCGATATGAAAAAAATTGCAGACAGGTTCGAAAGTTTCGCGGGATTCGAATTGTTATATTCGCACAACGTTTCCATCGAGGAGTTGGCACGATTTTACCACACAGGACCAAACGACACGGTGAAACGTCACTGCTGTAACATCTCTTTGAACGGATGGACCGTGCAAGATGTTCCGACGTTCGAACATTTGAAATGGTCGCCTCGATGCCAGTACGTCATTGAAGCTTCGAAGATACGACAACCGCTACCGATGAAGGAGGAGCAAAAGCGTCGCGACGAGAGTGGCGAAATTTTCTCCGCGAAGATTCAAGAGACGAATGTTGGACGAGATGTTTGCGGATGGAGACGCGAGAATAAACGATTCGAAGGAAAATACGAGCCAATTTCTGCACGAAGAAAATATGGATATTGGTCCGACAGAATGCGCACATTCGTGTGTTACGGGATCGGCGAAACCGCGGGTTTGGAACGATCCGCGTATTTTACTCCCACGATGGCGGTTCGATTAGTCGAGCAAGGATTTGCGAGAATCGAACGCAACGTAGTGTGTTTCGAATGCGGAATTTCATTCGAATTGAACGACTATAATATAAGCGACATATTGAACAAACACGCCGCTTCATCTTGCAGATTGTTCAATAAAGCGACCGAAACTATGGTTTAGTTGTTGATCGTTTTTCGTTGTTTCTTTCGACCCCCATTCTTTGCGCTGCAATTAATTTTTCTCTTTGCGACACAGCCATCGTCGTCGTTGTCGGTATTTCTTTTTATTCTGCAATTCCATCAGTTTCTAACGAGTGCTATCTCCCGCGAGATAGAATCGAACATTTTTTCGATAACACTCGCGGAAAGAGTTCCAAATTCCTTCAATCTTTCCTCGTCGAATTTTTCGAGCACCGTAGTCAAAGCGGTACCTATCGCCAGATCGATACCTATCGACTCTTTTAACGCGACGAGATCGTTGTGCAAGTCGTCGCCGTGTTCTCCGCACAAGCGTAAATTTTCCACTATTTCTACCACACATCCCATTCTTTTCAAATTTTCAATCGTCGCGAATCGTTTCTAAATCATGGTCAACGATTGCGCGGTCAACATCGTGTACACCATTCTGTCCAGTGGATTTTCCAAAACATACGACGTCATACCGAACATGATGCGTTCCACTCGCGGTTCATCGTAAGCTTCGCATGCCAATTTCCACAATTTTTTGTTTGTTACAGTATCGTACAGTGCCGTAACGTCCGCGTTTATGCCTATCAATTCCAAAAAACGAGCGCATTCGTCGACGATGTATTTGGGAACTTCGCAAATCGTGTTCGCTAAAGACACAGCAGCAATCAACACCGATCGCAGGCGTTGCGATTCCCCCCTGTAAGAACATTGTTCTTCGTTGCGACCGATAAACATCATGTACAAAAATAAAGAAAAATCAAAGAAAGACCACCTTCCACCCGCAAAACTGATCTTGTTTGAAAGTTCCGTCGACTGTGTTAAATGTTTATGGCCTTTTAAAACATCCGTCTCTTGCGTTTACAGTCGCGGAATTTCCAGCGAAAATATCAGCGATGTAACGTTGAAAAGCGAAAACGAAAAATCGTCTTCGTTGGCTAACTGTTAAATTGAAAAAGTGAAAGCGATCGTCTGGTGATTTAACAACAACGCAGAAAAAAAAGAGAAAAAAGAAAAAGAAGAAAATACGACGTGTCATCGAACGAACAAAACGAGTCATCGAACAACCTTGACCGAACAGGAGCATCGATCTTTCACGGTTGAATCTTCAGCGATGTTGTGGCAAAACTGCGCGGTTTTACTGCTGAATTCAGATTTGCAACGATGTATTGACAGGTCGTACATGAATGCAGACAAATTGCGACTGTATCGCGACAGCGTATTTTCGAGATTCGACGAACATTCACGACTGTTGACCAGCATCGTCAAACAGTACGGTCGGGACGTTAAACATTTCCTTTCGCGAACCAACGATCCGTTCGTAACGATTCGTTTCGCGGAATCCGATATGATGTTCAATATTTGGCGGAGGATAGAACCGTTTGACTTTTTTCATTACGCGTTGTCGGAAATGATATCGCATTTGCCGTATGAATCTTGCAACGTGTCGTGTGGAAACAGTCAGTGCGTCGACGACGAACACTTCGTCGATTCGGATTCGTCGCCGGTCGTTCTGTCGCCATGGCGGTATCGTTTACCGTTTTGTCTGAACAGCGAACAAATGGAAGATCGACATTTTCATTTGGACCCATCCACTCTGTCTCTCGTTCGTACGATGGCTTGCGACATCTCGTGCGTGATATTCGATTTTATCGTTAGACGCGTCGAAAGCGGTGAGGGCTTTTCAAACGCGTAATCGTCCCAAATGCGAGAACTCTTCGATCGAATGTTGAACGACGGAGCGTTTGTAGTGTCGGTTCCTTTTTCATTTTTCATAGAAAAACGATTCTGAGGAAACGTATGTCGGATATTTCCGCGAGTTTAAATCGTAAGAAAAACAATACAATCGATCAATTTTTACCGATATCCCAAAAAGCTCACAATTGTGCTATTCGGTCATCCAACATATTCGCTTTGAGGTTCATATGCGTAGTGCGCGATTTGTACAAGAATGAAACCATAGAATGTATGTTTCCCGTACCATCATCGTCGAATAATTTTTCCATCGAATCTTTCGTTAAAATCGCAAGCTCGACCGTAGACGCGACGATTGATTTCACCGCCGCCGCCGTTGCGAAGTGTTCGCATCGAAGTCCGAACAATTTGTACGTGTTAGCTTCTCTCAAAATCGCATTGTCGCACGGTATAGGCTCGACGATCGACGGAAATGTTATGAAACGCGTACCTACGCACGCCGAAATTATATCGAATTTTTTGCGATTAAGTTCCGCCGAGTTCTCGATAAGACTAGCCAGATGCATAGATATTACCGGAACGATGAAATGTAACGTCACATTGTACATATGAAATAAAACTACATTGTCAAACGATTCGCATATTCGCCTTGTGAACGAACCATTGTTTTTCAGGGATGCAGTGTGGCACGCTCGAATCGTAAAGTCCCGATATATTTTCGATCGATCTAAAGGTCCCATCGGGACAAACGCAATCGCGATAACTCGGTTCTCGAATATTGACGTTCAAGTCTTAAACTCCGCCTTCGCACGCTCTCTTGCGATCCCGAAAGTGTTTGTACAATTGAACACATTGCCATATAGCCGCACCTAAACTCGTGTATCCCACCAATAAAGCGTATTCGCCGGCTTTTACATCGCACAATCCTTTCGTACATCGTCATCGCTGCCATCATCGCCGCCGTCGTCATCGCCATTTTTATCCCGTTGTCGAATCGTACAAACGTTCCCCTCGCATGTAAAATCAGCGCCGAATCGACTTACGCATAAAACCTCACAATCTTCCTTTGTGATGCAGAATCGCGAAATTGTCGTACAATTGTCTGCGGATTCTTCGGCTTTTCTTTCCGAGTAAGTTTCCGTTGCATTGACGCGTAAAAACCTAGCTCTTCTGATACGATTCAATTCAGCTTCGAATACAGCGTCGCGTTTCGAATATTTAGAAATCGACCATTGAGGTATTTCCATCGCGCACCACACTAGGAGAAATAGCGCGAACGAAAAGATCAAATACATGAACATATCGCGTTCGATGTTACTTTTTCCTTACGAATCAACGCTGCGTGTTTTTTTAATAACCACGTGATTGCGAATCGTATCGTCGTAGAGATCAAACGAACGACTCCACCTTGGTCGTCGAGTTCAACAACCGTCAATTTGTCGCGATGCGTTTTACGTCTCAACGCCATGATCGGCGACCATCACGAGGGTAAAAATTTTGTCAATGAATTTATGTTCGCCTCTTCGACAGTTCTCGCAAGCACGCGAAGACGATTGTCGATGGAACGTTCCGTCGATAAATAATTCCACTTTCGCTTTTTATCGCGATCAAAATACAAGGCGTCGTGATTTTCATCGACTTTTCCTATCGCGGAATAAATAATATCGATGATTCGTCAATGTTATTCAAACTTTGCACAATAGCCTCTGAAGTTCATACTCAATCACAACGCGACTGTTGACTTGTTCTCCATTATGAAGGACATAGTCAATTCTCTGACGGTGGAAAGCGGCCGAAGAGGAAACGGAGGTATTCGTTGGTTGTATCCGGTTCGTCGCGCGGGAAATAGATCGGCTCGACTGTACGTCAACAACAACGTGCCTCTGAGAATGTTCGAATTGTTGTCGCATCGTAGCGCTGACGAGAGCAACGCAGCGACACTTTTCGGTGGGAGCGAAAACGATTCCAGCGAAGTAAAAATTCAATGTGTTGACGAATCTTTGTCAAAAATGTACCGAGAATTCAAGCGCGACCGCGAGGTATGCGCAAGATGTATATCGAACAATATACGCACTAAAGATGGCGTCGATCTTAAAAATTTTATGCGTTCCGATCGATACAAGAAACGCTTCGATGGCGAAACGACTGAGATTGAAACGGACGAGGAATCAATATTCGTGTCTGATGTAACGAACGCGCTTCTCTTCACAATATTGTCCGTCGTCAGACACGATACGCGCGATAAGGTGTACGCAAATCACAGTGCATCCGCCGTTCGAGACAATTATCGCGTTTGTTTGAACGGAACTAAAATTCCAGACGATATAGATGCGCAGCACTTGATACTGTCCGATGACACGTCTCGCGCTTCGCCGAAAGAGGACGACGTTTCAAAAACTGAAAGTTTCAGCATCTTACTGACGCACGCTATGTCTGCGTTTCACGCTTCTGGAATAAAAATATCACAATGGATCCAGCTCATCGCTTATTGCGATGAGATATGGAACAAACGTATCGGTATAATGGATATGGAACAACTCGCTGAAATTTTATTAACTTTGTACAAAACGCTGCCATCGTTATCATCGTCGAATGCCAAAGATAAGGTCGCAGGTGTCGATGATATTTAACTGGACATTGCGGCGAGCGAATAGATCGATCGTTGTTGAATGAGATTCGTCGATCGCAACGGGGAACCAGCGTGGAGGATGCTCGAACAAACGCCGCAGGAACAATCGTCGTCGTCTCGACCCGAACAACCGACTTGGAACGGTACCAGACGCAACGAAGGAAAGCATCGTCGCGACGGAGGTAATCGTTACCGGAGGTGGCGAGCTCGCGAAAATGAAGTCGCTCGCGCTGTTTACTTGTGCGATCAGTTGGACGCTCTGCTGCGAACAATAAACGACATATGTTCCGACGAAGCGATATTTTCGAGAAATGAAAATATAATACTGGTGATGAAATATTGGACGTTTCGATTCACGGAACGCTTTCAACGCGCGTTGAGGTTAAACGTGACGACTTTTCGCAATCATCGCGACAACAGACATCAGAAAAAAAATTCTCGACTCGCCGAAGAAGAACAAGGTGGTTCACGGCAGGAAGCCGTCGATGCGCGGCAGGAAGAGCGAGTGGTCGATCCACGACAGGTTCGTCGGGACGACCTAACCGTCGAGCAAAATGTGAATCAGCAGCAGCAGGTTCGGCAAGATGAGCGAACCGTCGAGCGAAACGTGAATCAGCAACAGCAGGTTCGGCAAGATGAGCAAACCGTTAATAACGAGCCTAAAAAAGAAGAATTACGTCGTACAAAGTCCGATTCTTTCGAGAAAACGCTACAATTAGAAAGAAGAAGAAGAAGCGAATGTGTTCGTTCGAACAGCGTCGTATTCAACAAGTTCAGCAGCAAATTCCTCAGCAGCAACAACTTCAACTTCTTCAGCAGCAGCAGTAGCTTGCAAAAGGGACGGATGAACATCCGTACGAAGACGACGACTTCGTTCGATTTGACGTCGACGATGTCGACAAGGAGATGGATTGGGCCGATGAAGCGTACAAAGAAGAAATTAATTTTGCGCAATGATTCGATTGTTCGATTGTAAGATTGATCGTCGTAAAAGAAAAAAATAAAAATTACAATGAGATATTTTTTTTCATTACTTCCATACACCGATTCCGATGAAAGAACCGATTACAGACCGCGAATCGTTTTAGCGGGTTCACCGGAAACCGGGAAAACACTCTTTGCAAAATCTATCGCGCATGGAACGAACGTTCGATCGGAAGATTACGCACCAACGGCGGAAACTGTTTATACTTTGTGCGCAAACGTAAAGAAACTCGATGAAATTTATCGTGGTGAAAAAAAAATCAAAAGAGCCTTTTGCTACGAAGTGGCTACCGACCCACGATTCGCTAGGCCTTTGTGGAAATGGAGGAATTCGCGATCGAAAGTTTTCAAACATCACGTGGATTGTTTTCTCAGTTACGATTTGATCGATACTTCCGGCGAATTGTGGGGTTACGAGAAGGGTGCCGACAAGTTGAGAGATCGATTGATCGAAAAATATCTGCGAAACGCTGATACCGTAATAGCGATTTAAGATCCGCGCGATGAGAGATCCGTGTGCGCGGTAACTCGGGTGATCGAGCGCTCTTCGAAACTTGCGCGAACGAAAAAATCTCGTTTGCGTTGCATGATCTTGTTAGAAAACACGACGCCGAAGCGAAGCGACACGGCGATTGCAAAATATCATCGTTCTTTCAGATTTTACTCTTCAACCGACGAAGATTGTAGCATAGTCGATTCGCATCGACGACAGTACGACGGTTATTTCGCGGCGATTGATATTTTACGTTCCGATGTTGAGACGTTGCAAAGAGAAGTGATCGATCGCGTTTTGAGATATACGATCGAGAGTGAAAATTTTTTCATTTCCGAAAAATGGTCGAGCGATAGAACGAATCTGATGATATTGAAAGGAGCGAATTCCGCGATAGCAATTATAGTAGCGACGCCTCGTTCGATGGTCAGCGAATCGCTGCTGCTGGTCAGATAATCGCGAGTGAGCTTTTCCGTCATTTCCGCAACATCTCCATCTATCGGAACATTCACGCTGACGCTTTCGTTACCATACAACACATTGCACATCCAAAAGATCAACAATATCGAAGCGCGAGGTATGAACAAGTTTGGATTGTGCGTCTCCGATCCGCCCGATATTATCATGTCTCGAAATATTACGCTCAGATATTCGTCTAAGTTTCCAACGCGAACGCGCGACCACATTTCGTTCGAAATGTCGAGAACTCGCGATGGATCGTGTTGAAACAATTGTCTACAGTACTCATTAGCGTTTATACAAGGTGGTTCGTATGTACGCTCACGATAATGTGAAAATATTCGTTTTATTCCTCTTACGCTCGACGTTCCGCATCATTCGAGCATTGGCCTAAAACCTCCGTATGGTTGTCGCCGTCGGACGTTGCACCTTACGTAGACAGAAACAACAGAAGAAACGTGGCGCCGGCGACTCTGATAACTCGTCAAAATCATTACATGGCAGCGGCAGGTTTCTTCTACAAGGATCACGCCGACGTCGTGGTCTGTCACGAATGCGGTTTGGTTCTTGGACGATGGCGAAAACCGCAACAGCATCGGCAGTCGCTGTCTTCGAACTCGAAAACGAATCGAGCGTTGCAAGCGTTAAGCGCGACGCCGGACGCGGTCGTCTCCGTCGTCTCCGTCGTCGAACAACGCCGCTGACGTCGCACCCCCGGTTGACGGTCCGTCGGGTGACGACGACGATGAAGCAAAGATCGCATCTCTGGAGAAAGAGATGTCGATCGCGGCCATACCTAGACGCGAGCATTGTTTCTGGAGGATGGATTGTCCCAACGTGTTCTACTACGAGTACAATATAACACCGTTCAATTTTTCGAGCTTCGCGCGATACGAACCTTTGTCTCGCGTGATCGAACCTTGCCGGGAACACCTGAGGGTTCCTCGAGACTTGCTGGAGAATTGCGCCGTTCGCGTGAAACGCGACACGGAAACGTTGAAATCGTTCTCGAAATCCTGCACGGACGTGATCGAACGTACGAAAAGATCTTTAAGAATCGGTAAAAAATTGTTGGATGGAATAAAAATGGATGTTGAGATATCGAAGTTCGTAACTTCCGATACGGAATATGCGCATATACGCGAACGAATCGCTGAGAATATCGAAGAGTTGAGAAGCGTCGGTGCGAACTGCGCGGTGTTGTTACGTTCGCGTAACGGGTTAAACAATCGGCAGCGATAGCGCCGAAAGAATATCGAGTGTCAAACAATAACTTCTGGGAAGACATACCCCGAGGTATCAGATCATTGCTTCGGATGAAGCAATCGGCAGCGATAGCGCCGAAAGAATATCGAGTGTCAAATAATATCTTCTGGGAAGACATACTCCGAGGTATCAGATCATCGCTTCGGATAAAACAGTCGGCAGTCATAGCGCCGAAAGAATAACAGTTCTAATGAACTGTAAGATAAACCCATATGACTCATTTCTGATGGCGTGAAATGTACTTTGTTCCTGATTGGGTGATGAGGAACCTGCGCGGGGGTGTCTCATCACCTACCTATAAAAGGGTGACGCGGGAAGCCGAGCCACACACACCACACTCTCTCTCGGCCTCGCGACTCTTTCTTGGCTTCTGCTTCAAGTACGACTTAACAATTCCTCAAACGTAAATAAATTTAATTCTTGCAACTTAACTTTTTTATTAACTTCCTTCAACCTCACACACACACACACGCACATACCCGCTCATCCATATCCACAACAACATTCACACAGCCTCGTCCATCCCAGGGTAAATTGGTTAAATCCATTGACCCAAAAAGGACATTTACACTCCACCCGAACCTTTACGTTCGCGACGCAACTCCGTATCTTTCAATAATCCAACATCCGCGTCCGGGACGTAACAGTGTCTAGATTCTACGACGATGGAAACGACGATTCTTGCGGCGGCGAAGTTGTCGCAAACGACGACTACGACGACGATGATGATGACGAAGCGACGACGACAGCAGCAACCTGGCGTCAGCGATAAATGCGTGGTGTGTCTGTCGAAATATGCAAACGTTCTGTATCTGCCGTGTCGACACTTGAATTCGTGCGTGTCCTGTTCGAAAAAATTGTCGACATGTCCTGTGTGCAGAGCCTCACTTTGGATGTGCGTCAGGATACATCGTTGAAAAAAAAAGGGGGGGGGGGAGTGGACAATTGCTGCAAAAATGTGTAAAAAGCAACGTTAAAAATAAAACATTCTTTATTTCACACCACATATAGCATCGTACGGTCGATCTTTGTCAATCGTTCACATCGTCGTCGCTTTAGGAACGAGAAGCGGAAGTATGTGAAAACAGTACATGCTTCGGAACGTGCGAAATACTCGAAGAGCGGCTCGCCGCATCATCTCCGGCGCGCACAAACCGCGCTCTCGAAATGCCGTCGATCTTTTCACGCGCGGCGGCGTCGCTCGCGCTTAATCAGATGTAGAAATATATCAACAATATTACGATTCAATATGGCATTTTTTGGAATTATACATACAGATTTATATTTTTTGTCGTAAGAAAACTTTAAATAATAATTGTTATATTGAAAAATAGTATTTCTATACAAAAATACATAAAAATTACTAGATTTATATAAATTTCATAAACTATCAACATCCAATATTGAGACGAAAAACTCAAAAGACCACTTTTTGTACTTGTGCTATTTTCAAATTTCACTTTTACTTGGTAAAAACCACAAGTGTATAATGCGAAATTGGTATCTTATTCATAATTTTTTCAATATCGTCATGAATCTTCCAAATGTGCCAAGGACAATTATTACAAAGCGTTCTAAAAGTAACAAATTGTGGCGCTTCTACAATTATTATAGGATCATTCGCGGACAAACCGCACAAATACGAACAATCTGAACGTTTTGAGATCCATATTGCGTTTAATGGAAGTTTTTTATCATATAAAACATATTGACCCGGACCGCGAATCGACGATTTTCCGTGTGATGTTTTGAGTAATTCGTCAATAATACATTGATCATCTTTAAACAAGAATGTTTTCCACTCTTTGCAAGAATAGCAAATACGAATAAAACGATTTAGTGACTCGATGTACAATGACAAATGCGTCAAAACTTCGCTCAACCATGGATATGTATCCGCTCTGTAATTCAAAGAAAATAATAAATGTCGTTCTTTACAATTTTTCCTCTAATAAATGCCGGTAGACTCTGTCAAGAATATTTTGACAAAATTTTCGACGTTTTCTATTTTCTTCCACGCATCAGCGATCAATGTACCCTTTTGTGTAAATAGCATTACGCGAATCATGTAATGACTCACGCGTCTCAATGTACGCGTTTCATCAAACGATGAAAGAACGTCATAATCGTCAAATGTTTCATTATTTTCAACCACGGTAACAATACTCTCTTGACTAGTATCAACGACGTTCTTGTAACTCTCGTCACAATCGTTCATCTTTTCTTTAAAAACGATGTTTGCAAAGAGAAGATGGTGGAGATGTCGATATCTAGAATTCGCTTGCTATATAATACGACTCGAGATTCAAAATATCACCAGTTAGCTCAACGAAACGATGAGCGGTGCCGATTGACGTTCAGAATTGATACGACAGTTAAATCAACGTCAAAAGCGATTGAGTAGGCAAGAAGTTATCTTCGCGCTGCCGTACGACGTGAGATATAGCGGCAATTTCAATCGAAACATAAACACCGAGCTAAAAGTATATGATAATTCTACTGTTATCAGGAATTCAAAAAAATTATTGGCTGTAAAAGAAGAATATCGTTATACAAACGGATATTACGATCAAAGCGGACGATTTTTATATCGAAGATACCAATGAGGAAGATAACAATATGTATCGTTCACTATACGATATTGTCTATATTGTATAATTTTGCGTAAAAGTTATTTTATCGTTCGCGCTCAATTGATTGTTCAAAGAAAAAAGTTTCTCGTCCATCCAATCGAACATAGTTTCTACTGACTGTTGAATGTTTATAAACATTAACTGTGATAATGGAGAAAACCATGCTTTTCGTATTTAAAGTTTTCTTACGACAAAAATTATAAATCTGTATGTATAATTCCAAAAAACGCCATATTGAATCGCAATATTGTTGATATATTTCTACATCTGACCAAGCGCGAGCGACGCCGCCGCGCGTGAAAAGATCGACGGCGTTTCGAGAGCGCGGTTTGTGCGCGCCGGAGATGACGCGGCGAGCCGCTCCTCGAGTATTTCGCACGTTCCGAAGCATGTACTGTTTTCACATACTTCCGCTTCTCGTTCCTAAAGCGACGACGATGTGAACGATTGACAAAGATTGATCGTGCGGTGCTATACGTGGTGTGAAATAAAGAATATTTTATTTTTAACGTTGCTTTTTACACATTTTTGCACCAATTGTCCACCCCCCCCCCTTTTTTTTTCAATGATGTACCCTGACGCACATCCAAAGTGAGGCTCTGCACACAGGACACGTCGACAATTTTTTCGGACAGGACACGCACGAATTCGAGTGTCGACACGGCAGATACAGGACGTTCGCATGTTTCGACAGACACACCACGCATTTATCGCTGACGCCAGTCGTTGCAATAGACGTATATAACTAGACTGCGCATGCTGTGCTAGCCATTGAAGCAAACATTTAAAAAGAGAAAGCAATATCGGGGGATCTCTGTCTCACTCTAAATCACACCGTGGAGGGGGAAGTGAACTCTTTTCCCCTCAAGACTTCAGTAGCAGCAGGAGTGAAGCAGACAACATTCTGTAACTACTATAAGAAAAGCGCTGTAATTGAT